ATGCCATATATATTTCACATTATATGAAGCTCTTGGTTGGTAGAAAGTTTGGGTGTTGGATATGTAAATGCATAGGCATTAAGTGGCATGTATGCAAACCTTCCAAAAAGAAAAAAAAAGGGATGCAGCCTCCTAATCCAATCAATTGGAACAATTCAATCCATAAGAGGTGAGTGGTATGTATATAAATGCCGCGACAAAAATTGTTCAAAACAGTCCCACAAATCCTTCGTACCACCTTTCTACATTACTTTAAAATTCTGCACCCTAAATTTCAAGTCTTAGCTTTAACTGCTTACGAATAATTATCTAATCTTTGTCATTATTAATCAGATGCAGCAAAACTTCTCCAACGACAAAGGTGCCCAGCCCCTACGCTACCTCTTCCACTCAAATGCATAAGAAAAAAAACAAGAAAATGTTACATACCACTTAATTGCCATGTATTTGCATATTAACGCCTAAACCATTGTATATGACATGAGAGATACGAGTGGTATAAATGTAAAAGCAAAATATATGTATTAAATGTGTAAATACATATGAAGTTAGTGGTATCTATGTAAACATATAGTTTAGGAATTTAAATATGTACATATATAGAAAAAATTTATATGCATGCCACTTAACTTTCATATATTCACATATCTAACACCCAAAAATTGCTTCATGATTTAAACCATACCAATAATAATAATAATTGAATGCTCTACAGGACTTCCAACGAGATTTAGCATATTAATTCTGCTGTATCCAAAAAAAAAGAAACGCCATTGGCAGTCGGCATTCATAGCTAACCAAAGTTCCCATAATCAATTTATGTATCGATCAACCCGGCAAACTCAAAGCAGGTCTAGAAAAGGAATGTTCATAGCATGTGAATTTGGCAGGCAAACACGAGCCAATATAGATTATCATTTGTAACAGGCATAAACTAGGAACATAAGTGGCATGGCTGTAGTGAATAGCAAGGAATTAAATATGTAAATGTAGCAATTTATATGAGTATTCCATCTTCCGAATGGTGGGGGTGAGTAACAAAACAGCGAGATGTTTACATGCATAGCACTTGAAACATTGCTACTTACAAATCTAGCACCCTTAGCTAAGAGATGGCATGCTCAAAACAGAGATACTGAATCAACCAACTATAAAGCCATCAATCCAAAAAAAAACAAAAGTTCGCAAAAACTCCAAAATAGCGTTCAAAACCGTCTTAAAATGGTAATCATCTCCTTCCCAAAACAACAAGATTATGGGCTTCAAAACAGCCTTTAAACCTCTTCAAAACTGTGGATTTATGGAACCGAATCAGTGTTTGAATCTCCCACAAACTAGTAAATGTCTGGGAACAAAATAACACTTGAATCTCTTCAAAACGGCAAGTATACATAGAGCAAAGGCCACATTTGAACCTTTCCCAAAACATTAGAAATGAGGGGTCAAAACAATTGCTGACCTTCCAAAAGAAAAACAGAAAGAAAAGAAACGAATTTATAATAGGACACCAAAGCTTTCAAATCCCCATAAGTAAAGAATCAAAACTTACAAGTTTTCAAGATCGAGCAAGCAACAACATTTCTCAGATTTTTTTTTTCTTTTTCTCTTTTTTTTTCCTTTTCTTTTTTTTTTTAACGATCAAATAGAAATTTCGGGTATCCATAAAAAAAAAAAAAAAAAGCCACAGAAATTACAGATTTTCCCAAGATGGGATTATCAATAATCTCGATCGTATACCCACAAGCATGTCACCTGATTCTTGTGTATTTACATAGGTAACACCTAAATTTTACCTTCGCACCTGCATCATCTAAATGTTTCACAATATGCCAACAACATCATCAGTATAGCTTTTCATACATAAGTAGAGCAACGTACATATAATAAGGTTTAGAAATGAAACCACCTAAAGATTGAATGAAGATTTCCATGAAAATTTATTTCAAATTCAGCACTAATCTGATTGCTCGACTTTGTTGGAATAGTAACTTAAGAAGGTTCATCAAGCAATGCCAAGGATATTTATAATAGTCATGAAATAATGCAAAGTAGGATGAAAAGAAAACTTGGAACATAATGGTCCATGAAGTCCAACAATATCCGAGCAAGTTTACATGACAGTTCAAGCAAGATGGAATCACTAAATACATAGGGCATTGCGACTATCAATTTTTTTCAATTGCAGTAAGGAAATATAAATTTCCATCCCAACAAATAACAACAATTAAAAGATAATTAATTCTTGTGCATTCCTACCCAAGAAAGCTCAACGTGATACGAAGAACCAACAATCACCACCCATTTTTCTCCCTCCTTTTTTTTAGAATAGAAGAATTTCTAAAACAACATGGTTTAAAAAGAAAATACCCATAGTTTATTCCCTTATAAACAGCCTGATAATTACCCACATCAACGCAAAGCCTCCATAGAAACCTAGAATTTCAATGTTACATGCCCCAAGAATCTCATTTGCCATAGCTCATTATTTTGCAATAAAGAAAGCAAGACAAATCTAAGTTCACTTCCTTTGTGAATGCTGAATCAATATGCATTCTAAAAAAAAGTATGCAAAGTACTGTGATCAATTCATATATAATCAAATAAAAACTTCAATCCATCAAAGCCCAAGCTCAACAAGCGGCTGAACAGGAATATCGAGCAACCAAGTAGGAAACCCAGGAATCAAGCAAGAAAATAAGCAACCAACGGCGAAATCGAGTAAATCAGCATGTGTATAAAGAAGCCGAGCAAGGGAAACGAAAGGCCAGCAAGATTGTCGAGTGTTTAAGGGAAGGAAAGAGGCTACCTCTAAATGCTCGCAGAAAAAAGAAGAAAGAATAAGGAGGGCCTCAAACTGGAGAGAGTCGAACGGCAAAGCCTCAGCTACACCACACAACCTTCCAGAAATTTCACCAGCCACCTAAAATTCTGGCAGCACCTCCCCCTCACACCAAAGTTTCGGTCAACCCAAAAGACCCCCCCAAATGGGGTTTTTATAGCCAAGGGAGGAGAAACATAACTGAACTTGTCTTGGGGGTGAGCCGAGACCGACGGTGACGGGCAAAGGAAGCGACAAGAATTGCAGAGAGCATGACGGGTAGAGAGTCGGAGCGCGGCAAGGAGTAGGTGGAAGCTTTACCAGAAAGTGGAGCACCCAGAAGAGGGCACCTCGGTCTGAAGCCACGCGAAGAGGAGAAGGGGAGCTCGGGTCGAAGTCTTGCGAAGGAGAGGAGAAGGGAGTTCGGCCGAGTTCGCGAATGGGAAAAAGAAAGGAAGCTAGGATTTGGTTCGCGAATGGGAAGAGGGGGCGAACCTCGGGTGCGTGAGTTCGTGCTTAGGGATTTAGGTATTTTAAAAAAAAATTCTTTTTTTATTATTCATCTTTTTAATATTTGACTTAAAATCCGCCGATTCTGACACAATTTGACCCCGCACGAAACTATATCAAAACATGTCATTTTTAGGTAATTTTGATGTTCTAGACGAGTCGCCTCAGTCCGTTTCGTTATCCGGGATCGTTCGGACAATTTCGTCGACGATCGAATCAAAAAATGAATCAAATTTAATTTTCGTCGAAATTTTGGTCCGTGATCTATCGTTTTGAAAATAATTTTTATTTTTGATTAATTATAAAACCAATAAAAGTGAGTGAAGTAAATTTTGACATTTACGTGCGTCGACTGTCTGAATCGTGATATTTTTGCACGAATGTATGAAAATAGTAATGGGGTTTCCTGAGGCTTTTAAACCCTGTGGGAACTCTCTTTGGGCCTCTACATGTTGGTCTTAATCTTCAAAGTGTTGGAGGTTTACGACCATCCACGTAGGGTTTCAAAAAGAGTCGGGAGGTAGTTTGAATTTCTATGTAGATGGGACCCACCTCTAGTCTTCTAGGATAGTCAAAGGAATAATCATATGGCTAGATCCTAAGCACTAAGAGGAAAGAAAGACCTCACCAAAAATGAGTTCAACAAGTCACTACAACTTTCCTTTGATCAATAAGTTAAAAGAGTTTCCCAAATATACTGAAGCACCTGTATAGCATTGTTCAATTACACACAAACCCTTCTTCAATATTTCTTATTTGAAGTTTTCCAAGCATGGAAATGGCAATGAAGATAATAAAGTAAATTCCCATTCTGCATAATAATAAGAATGTTTAGAAGCAGAAATAGAAATAATAAAAAGATAAACATTTTATAGCAAAGTTCAAATCCTAAATGAAGAAGCTTGCCATTCGGTGAACCCGCCGACTGCTAATCTGATTCCATCAGACCCCTTCTCAGCTTTCCTCAACCACCAATTCCGCAGCAAGACCTGGACATTCAAATACAGGTAGCATAAGAACAGTTTAGCCTTCAATCTATTTTGTGTAGATAAAGGTGAGGGAGCAAACAGTTTTCTGCTGGAATGACGGGTCAAATATATTCTTTGGCTGGTGTTCCAAATTTCTCCAGTTGGAAGATTTGTTCCCAGAGGACTCCTCAGTAAATTTATCCCAAGCAGTAGGAAATCCAAAAAGGAAAGCATTGCAAGCCTGCAGAAATGACGTTAATGATGGACATAGAAGCAGTTTTATGCTTTGTTAAAATCGATTATTCCATTTATGGGACATTTGTTGAATTAAAAAAATAAGGAAAATTTACATACATACCACGCAATTCTTTTGTATTTGCATATCTAACAACGAAAGATTCAAATTTACACTTATAACACCTTGGTGTCCTAAACCTCTGCATGAAAAGGCGTATTTCACTTCAAAAGAGGAGTCAAGTTGTTATTTTTATTGTAATTTTTTTAGCATTTGAGTGGTGTGTATGTAAATATGAGTGTTTAGGTGTTAGATATGTAAATATGTGAGAAGTGTGTGGCATGTACGTAAATGTACCTATAAATAAAAGGCATACAAAATAAGCTATAAACCTCCACTGACCTCAAGAGGGAACCCGTTATCGATAGTGCGAGTTTTGTTGATAGTACCCTGAATTTTTATGTTGATTCCATCTGCTGTTTCGAGAGTGCAGTGGTCGTGACGTTTGATAATAGGGGCAGATCTAAAAATTCCCACAGCTTCCCCCCTAAAGAAATAAAACAAGTTCAAAACTGATTAAAAAACATAGAACAGAACTTTTAAAACCTGTATATTTAGAAAATTTAGAAAATCTACCAAAAAGCTATCAATCATGAAATGCAGTGATAAGTTGCAATGCAATGCAAATTTAGAAAATTCAGTATCTACCAAAAAGCAACATTTGAGATTCCTCCAACTAGCCAAAAGTCACCATTTATGCTCTATTGCGTTTGAAGAATTGAAATAGAGAAAATCAAAAGAAAATGGGAATGACATAACAAAATTGAATTAAAATTATACAATTCCTTCAAACTAAACATAACCTTAGAGTTGTTTGAAGCCCAGCATGCAGGCAAAATTCAAGTTCCTCCAAAGATAGTTTTTCTGGGTGTTTAATTGCGGTTTCTAATATTTTAAGTGTGCAATCAATGTGATCACAGGGGTTTCTAATTCTCCATGCATGTTTGACACTGCAAACATCCTCATTTCAAAGCCTGTTACAAACTCATTATATGCAAAACTCTTTGATACATTTAATTCGCACAGAAAACAGGGGAGACCGGGTACCCTAAAACCCAAAACAGCTCTGCATTGGACCACATTAGCGGAAAGGGTGAAGCAATTATACAGCATTGAAGAAGAAGATAATGAGATCAAAATAACTAAGCAGTACAGTAGCCAAAATCTTCCGAAGTGATGGAAACCTAAAAACCATCCTGCGGAGAATGAACAACAAATAAAAGAAGGTCAGATTTACCTTTTAGTGAATCCGCCGACAGTCAGCCTCCTCCCATTGTAATCCCTCTCAGCTTTCATTAACCACCACTCAAATAACAAAACCTAGAAATCAACATACACAATGAATAAGAACCAGAGTCGAATATTGAAGCCGTGTTGAACGGATGGAGAACGAGAAAGGAGACCGCACCTCTTTCTGCTGCACAGGGGGAATGCGAGGGTTTTCCGGCTTCAGCTCCGGCGATCGCTGAGCAGCCGCTGGCTTGGACCCCATGTGTGAGACGGAATGAAAAAGGTGGCGCTTTGAATGCTTAGACAAATTAAAAAGGGCAGTGTGTCAGTACTCGCAATTGGTAAAATAGTTTTCAAACGGCGAAAATTACATAAAGATCACATAATTCTTCTGTATTTGTATGAACATATGAATTTAATTATTAAAAGATAATAATGAGTGTTATTTTTAGTATGATATTCGTAAATTCATAAGAATTGGATGCTATATGTAAATGCCCCTTTCAAATACTTTTTTTTTAATAAATCAAATATTATTAATGAAAGAAAGAAGATATACATCTAACATGAGGGATGTTAAGTAATTCCCCATGTAATGAGGAGCTGAAGAGAGAAGAAGAATAAGAGCTACATATAACCTTCCTTGAAGAAGTAGCTTCCTCAGCTAAACAATTTGTTGGTTGATTACTCTCTATATAGATATGACTCCAAACAATGAATAAAGAAGATGAAAGATTTAGAATCTTGTCAATCCAGATTTGAAGATACCAAGTAATATCAGCTTTATGAGTAAAAATCTGAAACAAGGACAACGAATTCATTTCTATGTGTATGTAGGAATAATTATGTAGAATAGCAATTTTAATCCCCCAATGGACAGCCAATGCTTCAGTTTCAATTGCAGTAGTTATAGAAACAGGTGATGAAAAGAGACATAAGCAATGCCCTTTATAATCCCTACATAAGCCTCCAATACCCGCAGCTCAAATTCTGTAACTTTTATCTATATTAATTTTAAGCTAAGGAGAACCCAGTTTCCTCCAAATAACTATTTGAAATTTTTTAACTATTGATGTTTTATTCTGATGACTAAAATAGACTAGACAGTCTTTAACAATACGCTTAAATTTATATTTTAAATTAATTAATGTGTTAATTTATTCTACAGTTATGATGACAATTTTTGGTTAGGTGTTGCAACTTATAAATCTAAAAATTAAAAATCTTATGCATTAATCATTAAAAATATTTAATATAATATTTTAATAACTTAAACTTTAAATTTAATATTTTAATCTTCCAATCACTAAAATATAATATTTTAATCACTCCAAATATTTACTCAAGACTCTATGAGTGAGTTATGGAGGGTGTTTGTAATTAAAAAATGATTAAAATATTATATTTAAAATTTTGGTAGTTAAATTATTATATTAAATGTTTTTTTTATGATTGGTATGTAAACAAATTTTTTTTTTTTTCAGACTGATTATCATTCATAAATAAATTTAAAAATTTTAGTCTAATTCTATCCTAATTATGCTCAAATGTATTAAAAAATTGAAAGATTTACATACATATCACTCAATTTCTATGTATTTATATAGTGGGTTTTGCATACATAGCACTTTAAAGTTTGGTATTTGCATATTAGCACCTCAAAATTTAATATTACTAAATTAGACTTCCATCAGTCTCCTAGTTGCTGGTGATCTGGTCGATTTCGTAATATTAAACTTTGAGGTACTGAATATTATTTATTTAAAAACCTTATTTATAAAACTACATTTATATACACGTCACATTCATTATACATAATAATATATACATACCTTTTAATAGTTAAAACATTGATATATTTAGTATGATATAAAGAATTTTGGTGGTATAAATGCAAAAAATTAAATTATGTAGGTTAGATATATAAATAAATAGGAATTGGGCAGTGTGCATGTAAATGCCCCTAATTAGGCTCGTTTATATTTCGAGCTTAAAAGGTGTGTTTGTGTCTGGCTCGTTTGTTTAGCGAGCTGAACATCAGCCGTTCTCGAACAAATAGTCTTTTTGACAACCCAAATCAGCTGGCCATACGATGTTAAGGGTTGGGGCAAAATTTAAAAATTATTGTTTATATTGAAACATCATTTGAATCTAATTTAATAAATTTTATGTCTATTTACGTAATTAATACTTATAATTGATTATAAATCCTTATAGCCCTGTAGTCAATTATGTTTTTTTAAAAATACTACTCATCCAAGATATATAAAGATATATATATATATATATATATATAATCAACACGGTATCATACATAGGAGAATATTCCCCTTGTGTTATTCAGGTGTTATTGTATGTTATTCAGGTGTTATTGTGTTTTTGGAATATTTTCGGTGTTATAATAACACAATAACACATCAATAACACTTAAATAACATACAATAACGTTTGAATAACACGAGAGGAATATTCTTTCTGCTAGCGGACAAACTTTATTTCTCGTGGCGTGATTTCATTTGACTCTGCACGTAACTCTACGTGAGGAGTCCTGATGCAATATTTCCTCCCAATTTTAATAGGTATACTTATGTACACACCACCAAATTCATATGTATTTATATATTTAACATTTAAATTCAATTATTTCATCTATAGCATCAAAAAATTTTATGTCGCATAAAAAAAATTATTATTTTAAATTTAATATTTTAACCTCATTGCTGTTAGATCCTTAAAGAAAGCTCCAAGAAAAAGATGACTACATGGTTGTTATTTCTTAAAGTGAGACATTATCTAGCAATTTAAATACACAGCACACATTTCACTTGTTTTCATAGCACCTCTTCTGGAATCACTCCAACAGAAGGTGGTTTATTTTAAGAGGATTTTTAATGTTTGTTCAATATAAATTCAAATAATATAGGGTAAATAATGGATTAATAATGTTTGTGTGTGTGTGTGTGTGTGTGTGTGTGTGTCTATATATATATATATA